CAGACACCCCGTTCCTGCTCTTCCAGCACCCATCAACTTTATCTTCCAGTGGAACGTGAACAGTTTCCTGAACCACCTCGGTGACTTTGAGATGCCACCCTGGGTGATAGCTCTCCAAGAAGTTAACAAGGTGACGGTAGACCAGATGGATCGTTCGCTTACCGGAAAATACACCTGGACCCTCATAAAAGGTAGCAATTTTTGCCACTCCGTAGCCATCGGTGTTCTAAGGAGCATACCTTTTAACGAGATTGACCTGGGAACTGATCTTTCCATAGTTGCCCGTTGAATTGTCAAATAAAATCACCGGCGTTTTCAGCAAGCTACCCAAGTCACGGATGTTTGTCGGAGGCCTCAATGGGCATCATCCAACTTGGGGCTGTCCTCGTCCGGATCCTAGAGGAAGCATCCTAATGGACTTACTCGATCAGGAAGACATGGCGGCGCTCAACTATGGAAACCCAACGTTCTTCAACGGAAGTCACGCCACGGCTATCGGCGTCTCTTCAATCAGCCGTTCCATAGCAGGAAAAGTCACGTGGTGTAAATTTGTACGGAATGGATCACTACTCCATAAAAATGCAGTTTTCGTCAGCCACGGCCCCAGAAGTCACTAAAAAACCTCGCTGGCGGTACGACGAGGCTGACTGGGATGGGTATCAGGGGACAATTGTGTCCCTGATCCTCGAACGCAATCCGTTAACCATCCTGGATTTTTCTAGGTTGGTGTTAGATGCTGCATCCGCTACCATACCAAAGACCAGTAGCCTACCTGGACGAAAAGCCCTCCGTTGGTGGAGCGAAGACACCAACAAAAGCCGTTAAAGCCCGCCGGAAAGCTCTACGGAAACTCAGGCGAACCAAGAGAGATGACCCAAACAGTGAAGAGCTACTAACCCGGTACCGTGCACTGCATATTCAATGCAGAAAATAAGTGAGAAGTGCGAAGCTAAGCAGTTGGTCTGGTTTCCTTGAATGCAGCAACGGTTCCCAGTTCTCTACCGACCACTGGAGCAGGGTTAATGCTCTCAGCGGTAAACGGCTTTCGTCGCCATTACATGTACAAGCTAACGGAGTTACCATCTCCGAACCGGCAGCCGTCGCTGAAGAATTCGGAGGGTATTTCGCCAAAATTTCGGCCATCTCCGGTTACCATAGCCACTTTCCTCGAGATTAACGAGCCTTTCTCCTGGGAGGAACTTCAGCGCGCACTAAGCCGCAGCAACGGCAAATCTGCGGGACCCGACGATCTCGGGTATCCACTTTTAAAAAAGCTGCCTCTTGAGGGCAAGTGCTGCATGCTTGAAATGTTCAACCAACTCTCGGTCTTGGATACCTACCCGACGCTGTGGAAGGAGAGTCTCGTCGTGCCCATCCCGAAGGCAAACGAAAAAGACAGGGGCACATCTAAGTTCCAGCCAATCGCTCTCACATCCTGCATGGCCAAGGTATTCGAACGGATGGTGAATCGTCGATTCAAGATGTTCCTTGAGACCAACAGCTTGCTCGACCACCGACAACATGCCTTTGGAAGAGGGTTCGGTACGTCCACGTACTTTGCCACTTTGGGAGACGTCCTCAAGGAAGCTTACAACCAGGAACACCACTCATTGGACATCTCCAAGGCCTTCAACCGGACGTCGACGCCAGCCGTCCTGGAAAAACTTACAAATTGGGGCTTGAAGGGGCATATGATGTATTTCATACGAAACTTCCTAACCGACCGGTCATTCCGTGTATTGGTGGGGAACACGCGGTCGAAAAGTTTCAAGCGTGGAAACCGGAGTCCCTCAAGGCTCCGTTATCGCAGTCACGTTGTTTCTGGTGGCAATGAACGGGACTGCCGCAGTAGAATCAACCTCGTTAAAACGATTTCTCAGCCTCACTGATCCAACAACCGTGGTCTACAACAGCTACATCCGCATCATATCTGGTCTCCTGATATGATCCACTCCAGCAGACGCCACATGCATCGAAGCGGGTCTTCTTCCTTTCCGGTTCTGCTTAAACGCAAATATTGCCACAAAACCCGCCGCCTTTTCCGCCAAGACCTCCGGAAACAATAGGATCTTTCTCCTCGACGAGGGGAACAGAGTCCTCTGCACGGCCACCGACATCGACCTCCCCCCAGTGGCCAAAGTCCATTGGCATGGAGAGAAAAGTTGGCACTCTTCACGAATCCAATTGGACAATCGGATCAAGAACCGCTTCAAAGCAGGGGATGCATCCGTGATTCTGCACAGATCGGTCGCCGAGCTACTTGTGTCCAACTATGCCGACCACGTACACCGGTACACCGACGGCTCTCGATCGAAAACCGAGTAGGTATTGGGATTTTTGGAGACGGTACTGCTGAAAGCAGCAATCTTCCTCCACAGTGCTCGGTTTTCTAGGCCAAGGCTGCAGTGATCTTCCGTGCCGCTATGACGCCAGCCAACAAACCGATACTTATCTTAACCGACTCACACAGCGTCGTTCAAGCGATCACCTCGGAAGCACCAAAACACCCATGGCGATTATCAAGCACGCCCCACCGAACACCGTATATACATGGATTCCCGGACACTGCGGAGAGCCTGCCAAAGAGTCTGCTGATCACCTTGCCTCTACCAGGACATCGGGTCCCAGACTCACCGACAAGGTACCCCTACAGGACGTCAGACGGTGGATCATGCGGACCATTCGAGCGTCATGGGAGGCCTAGTGATTCCGCAACAGAACTGCCTTCCTCCACAAAGTCAAAGGGTCATCTGAAGCATGGAGCGAACAGGGCAACCTGAGGGATCAACGCGTGATTTTGCGGCTTCGGACCGGGCACACCAAACTCTACTGTAACAATGGTGGCCTGCCGTTCCGCAGAAGCTGCATCATCTGCGGGGTACCCTACACCGTCGAACACATCCTGTGCAACTGGTATAGTGTGCACTTGGTATAGTAGGAATTTCTTTCGGCCGTCGGGACATCTCAGTTGGATGGATTTCCCCTATAGCACCCATGCCAGCTGAGCACTGTTTTGTTTGGATAATTCGTTTGTAGATTGTTTTAAATCATTTTGTTTTCTGTTGTTCCTCTGTTTCACTATTTTATATATTTTTTTTTCCATATAAGTTCAAGAGCCAACAACCCAAGTTATTTACAAAATGTTAATATACCATGTATTTAGAGGTTACTCACTCTGAGGCCTCTCCTTTGTCTGGAGATGAACTAGCCTTAGACTAAAAATCTCCTTAATAAAGAATTAAAAAAAACGGCATTACTACACAGCAAAAAAAAATGTAATATCAATCAACGTAATTCAAGCTGATGTATGAAATAATGATGTAATAGCAAAAAGCAGATACAATATTACATCAATTGATGTAATTTTGTTCGCAAAGTCGATGTACATCGTATAACGTAATATTACACAACCGGCGGAATGACCTCTGTGCAGCTGTTTGGATGTAATATTCAACAACTTTTTTTTCTGTGTAGTGATAAAAATAGCTTGGACACCACTGCTAATGCTGACAAGCCTTTAATCAGCATTTCTAATGCTATATGCCATCAATCAGCACTTCTAATGCTTCATGCACATAATCCACATTATATGAGCACTAGCAGTGCTTCATAATATTTTGACAGGAAAACCACGTAGTCAGCATTTGTGAGTTGTAGTGTATTGTATCTATCGAACATTTTCACAAACACCAACATAGAACATTTACAAAAATGATAGAGTAAACGTTTGATGCATGCCTTTTGTAGAGATTTGTTTAGCCACTTCGTATATTTTCATGCTTAAATCTCTCGATCTACATAACCCAACAAACATTGAAAGAATAATAAGAGCTTGTTCAGGCAAATATATGCTTCTTCAGCTAAAAATGGCTTGTTCAGCCTTTAATCAGCACAAATTGTTTGTTGGGAATGTATGAATTTGAAAATAAAACTCATTGCAGCAGGAAAGTGCGCATAGAATTAAATATTTGTGATGATTCTTGAGGGACTGATTTGGACAAAGTGAGATCTATAACTAAAAAGTTCCAAAATATGAAAGCTCCAGGTGTTGATGGAATTTGATATGAGGATGTTGAAAAAAGGAGTACTTTTCTATGTAAAATTATTTATCAGATGTTTCCATTAGGTTTTTTTTCCATATATATGGAAAAAATGCTAATGTTATTCCAATTTTAAAGTCGAATAAAAATCCAACTGAAACTTCTACCTACAGTCCAATAAGTTTGCTGTCTTCAATAAGTAAACTTTTTGAAAAGATAATTTTGAATAGAATGGTGCTCCACATTAATACGAACTCCATTTTTGCAGATAAGCAGTTTGGATTTCTCCATGGGCATTCAACTACTCATCAACTCTTAAGAGCTCCAATTTAATTCGTCCAAACAAATCTGAATGCTTCTCAACTGGAGTTGTTCATCTAGACATAGAAAACAGCGTATTCTACAGCGTTTTGCATCCACTCTACATTATGAAACTTTTTTTTTTTCGATTTCCACTATTTCATGGGAAATTTTCGATACTGAAAAAGGTCAACATTTGACCACTTTGCGTAACCCCTAAATCAAGTCCGATTGAGCTCAAATTTCGAGGCAAAAATCATTTTGTAGAGCATATCTTTTTTTAAATTTGAGATGACCATTTCTATTGGCACCCTAAGGCACATGTTCTAGTTGAAACGTCAACTGACTACATGGCAAGACAATAAACTAACGAACTACCACTTGTATGTGCAGCACTTCCTGGGATCCACTCGACCAAAATACTTCTATTCCGCCATCCATCGTTATGGAATGGAATGTCTGCTTTGCAATTGTAATGCAGTTCATACCAGCAATTTTCCATATCAAAGGAGGAAATGAAATAAGAGCACAGAAGTCGCAGCGCGTCGCTTCCTTCTGCTACGAAGGATTCCATATTTTTCCACCACCTTTTGACTCCCATTTACACGCAGCAGCAATTTCCATTCGGCGTCAATCTAACGTTCTCCTCCCATTTTCCAGGTATGCTCACCATAACCAAGTGGTGCGAAGCATTGGAAGCTGCCACCAACTTGGGTCTGCCGTGGCGAATGCTGCGCGACAAGCTGGCCCCGGTAGATAACCCAACCGCTTCCAGCACCACTGCCGTGTCGGAAGTCAGCTACCGCAAGACGCTGCACCTGCTGGATACGGATTCATTTGTAAGTGTACCTGTGGTGATTTTTCCTCGACGGGATTGATTGACTTTTTAAATCGTGTTTCGTAGAAATGCGCCCAGAATGGAACGATGTCGGTGGCGGAATCGCTTTACAAGAACAAAAGCAGCCTGGAAGCGATTTTCCGAATTTTGGACAAGGACAACAGCGGGCAGATTTCGCTGGAAGAGTTTGGCGAAGCGTGTGATCTGCTGGAGAAGCACTTTCCACACAACACGCACGAACAGCTGCTGGATATGTGTCGGATGATGGACATCAACAAGGACGGGTTGGTTGACTTGAATGAGTTCTTGGAAACGTTCCGGTTGTGCGAGAATGCCAAGGAACAACTGCTGGAGCATCTGCAGGAGACGGCGCTGGCCAAGGAGGCAAATGGCGAACAGACCGATAAGGGTAAGAAGAATGGGGATGCCAAGCGTAAGGGGAATAAGAAGAGAAGTAGTGGTAAAAAGATTCTTGATTCTTCTAAAATAGCTGAAGATTCGGAAGATTATGAAGATTATGAGGCGAATGAGGAGAATAAGGAGCAGAAGAAGTGTAGGGCAGCTGCGGCAGCGGCAGCAGCTTCAGCGAGTTCAGCGGCATCGGCGGCCAGTGCCAATGGTATGGTAACTAGTGTTAGTGCCAATAGCAATGGGAACGTGGCAGAGGGAACCTAGGGAAGCTTGATGGCAGTAGCGGTGGCCGATCCGAGGGGCTTGGTGGTGGAGTAAGGGGAGCGAAGCTGAATATTATGTGCTCACTGGTATCAATTTTGAAGTTCACAGATGCGTGAAATCGAATCTCCCAAATTATCACCAAAGTTCCACCCCCATCGTCCAACTTTCCCACCCCACATTGCCCACATTTTCAGCTAATGTAATTTATTATTTAGAAATCACTTTCCCGCCCTCGCGTTTTTTCCACCAACTGGGACAATATTGCGCTGAGCTGCCGCCATCAAACTTCCCGTTCACTGCGACAACCATTATCTACCCATTCGCAAGATAAGAATCGCAAGGAAATTCCATTTTCCTTCCACTCTAGAGCTTCCTTCTTTCAAGCGATCTCCCAAAGCATAATAGTGAAAATATTATTACACGCTGCCTTGTGACGCACGATGACTATAATTGGCTTTTCGACAATTCCAGCGATGGCCACTCGTCGGTTCTAATTTTGCTAATTAATTGAATCTAGCGTTTATTCGTTTGATATTGTTTCACTTCTTATGTTCTCGAGCCGTAAGAACTAGACCTTATTGAAGTTTATTGCCAGATTCTGAGCAACTTGCTCGCTTGGTTTCTTTTCAATATCAAATTACAAATTTAATTTCATTTAGAAGGAAAATGTGATGAAACGTTACCCTCTCCATTCGATTAGGTCGAAGTCACAGATTCAAGATGAGATGACTCGTAAGAGGGCGGAACATTTTGAAACGAAGAAAATACCGGGATCAATGACTGTTTCAGATTGTTCAAATATCTTCTTCCCAGTTTGATAACACAACTAATCACAAAGAACAGAAGCAGAGCAATATCATATTACGAATCATAAGAAAATTTATATAACCTTACAAAATGTTGATAGCATCCATTTTAAACGCAAATTACCTAATACGAATCAATGAAACCAAAGAAATTTGTTCGCCAGGCGACAAGCAAAATATAATCGAAATTCAGCTTTAACTTATAAAAACAAATGTAGTCTTGAAAAGATCACCAAACAAATCCCATACAGAGACGTTTTAAACATGTTAAAAAATTATGAAAACCGATAAACAAATTCAAACATCATCTACGTGTACCAAGCAAACCGATGGTTTCCCGAAGCAAACCTACAAAGAAGAAGAAAAAAAAACTGTTTTTGATGTAAAATTTAACTGAGATCCACTTATTGCTAAGCAAATCAAGGCCAATTTCTATACCACTATTTGTATATCAAAAAAAAATCACCCCTTTCCTTCCTCTCGTGCACCCTCGTTTTCAATCTCTTTGTCAAATCCTGCTATCGTAAAAATTAAGAAACCCATTAAAATGAATGTTTGTTATTCGACAACAAAACAAATAAAGTCACATAAATTGCCAAAGTAATCGTAAACATTTAGCTAAATCGTGAAACTATGTCAAAAGAACCAAAAGTATGAAATACTCACCGTTTGATGTTTGCCGTTGAACGAAACGAAAATCATTAAAAAAAAACACATTTAAAGATATTGTTTCTCTCTTGAGTTACGTCACACACACACCCATAAATTAAATCGTTAAGTATTGTTGTTAAGCCTGATTGAATAAAAGACTTTAAAGCGATCGCTGCTAGGGATGCTGAGACTAGTGAAAAATTAAAATTATCAATCTGTTGTACATAACCTATATAGTTTAATGCTTCTTCGAAAGAGTTTTTGTTGAATGGGTGAGCGAGCGTTTGTTTTTGCTGGATATTTTTCCATTGCCGATATTGTGAGATTACATAAAGACAAGATTCGTTAACCATGCGCTTTAAATGCAGAAAATAAGGAACGATGCTGCGAAGGCAGATCAACCAAGAAGCATGATTTTTACGTAGGATGGCGAACGTTTTCTATTGATATAATGATAATGAATAAAAAATTTCCTATTTAGTGTTTTTCGATCTTTGAATATATTATACATACTAGAAAAGTAAACATACAAGAACATAAACAACCTAAAAGCAACTGTCATCGTTTTGTGAAAGATGTTAAGAAATAAATAAAAAAGACATAAAAATTTAACAAAAAATTGTCATTATGTGAAATTTATGCATACGTCTTCAATCATTCGAAAGCCTCTCAGTTTTCATGTTTCAAATCTTCGAAATATGTGTCATATACACGCTAAGATGCACATTAGAGTGTTTCAAAATAGGTCAAATCTGGGATTTCAAACGCTACCCTCTGTAATGGTAGTTTGGGGGGTCAGAAACACCCTGCCAAAATTTGAAGTCATTTGGTTCACGGGAACCCCTCACTCAAACGGCTTGAAATTTGTATGGGGAAAATCGACAAAATGTATGGGGGAGCTAGCCACTTTCACATTCGCGACTCTAGGTGGTGCTGTAGTGGGTCGATTTTCTTCGTGTACAAAATGTAGCACCTTTGGAGTATTGGGAACATCTTGGCTGAAGACCGGATGTGAATCCGAGTTACCCCCGAAAAGTTATTAGCGTTTCAAACGAACACCACCTGCTTTACTTCTGGCGAGGGCCTAACGCGCTTGTGCAGTTTTTATTTTTACGAACAGGTATACGAATAGCAATGTTTGCATAGGTATAACTTTTTTGTTTAACCATGAAATTGGTTGAAATTTACACAGTGAGTAGAAAAATGTTCGAAATTATGGTCTACTAAAAATTGGAACAGATTGGCCAAGTGGTTCGGTTTTATTCCGGGTTTCCGAGAGGCCATCGGGGGGAGAAAAGGTACCAGTCGTCTACAACAAGGTGGTGCTGAAAATCCACAGCAACAGGCATCTATGGGTAGTGCTGATTAATATTTTAACAAAATCAACCCATAACCTGGTTCTAAATACTGAGCGTCCACCGGAAGGCCTTCCGATGACCCGGATCAACCTTAATCTGGATTATTATGTATTTTTTTTTTATTAAAGCAGGCCTTGATTATTCTCTGCAACTATATGAAATGTAGTAGATTAATGTTTTAGATATATAAGCGTTTCAATGGCTTCAAGTGGTCACCAGATGACCTACCGGAAGATCCAGAACATCCGTAAAATTGATTGCTGTGTAAATTTGATCAAAGTAGGCCTTGTAAAATGTAGTAAAACGATGCTGTACCCACGATTCAGACTACGAAATATCCATCATCTTAGAGCAACCGTAACGGTCGTTGTCATTTGCGCGACTATTTTAACAGCGCACAGTGCTCTTATTTTAGTTTAGTCACTCTTCTCCACACCGGTCGCTGCTATCGCGGTTATCAATTTACTCGCCGTAGTCCGTACCGGTAGTGAGCATTTTGACATTTCTACGAATAGCAACCTTTCTCTCGCGCAGTCAAACTTTCATAGCGAATCAAAACAAACATTGTGTAGTACTAGAAGTTTGACTAGAATGGGGTACGTTAATCGATTTGCTTGGGGCTAATAGCAAATATTATAAATTAACAATATGGTTCACTTCCAGAATTCCCATATACAGGGTGTTTGGTTCCGGGTTTTACATATTTTCAGCGTAGATAGGGCTCCTAAAGTTATGAAAAAATTCCCATGAAACATAGGGTCGGAAATGACGGCTAAGTGAGTTATTCAACATTTATGTTTTTTTTTTGTATTGCCAACTTCGGTTAGCTATATTTTTTTAATCTTAATGTGGTTTTCTGATTTCAACATACCAAATGAAAGATTGAAGTCTAAGCTATCAGTGCTCTTTGAAAAAGAACTTGATTAAAGTTAATTATCATACATTAAAATTGAAAAGTATGTTGAAAGTACCAAAAAAACTGGTAAAATTTCATACATTTTGGTGTTTTTAAGTTGAAAATTTTCATTTCTGTTTATTTAGTTGTTCTACAAAACATTTTCCATGCAGTTCCCTAGATTTGTGCCTTTGGTAGTAACCTTGTAGGCTTTATGGTTTCTTCGTAATTATTGATTTAAAACAGCCATAAAAACTTGTGACGTTTTCTTAAAGTGTGCTATAGTCACCCTATTCATTCGTACGTTCGGCTGTTGCAGTGGACTACGCACATGAAAATTTGGTAGAATTTTATTTTAAATGTTTAGCTACATTCTTAACTTTTGAATACCGCACATCTCCTGCGCCGAAAGAAAACATAACTGCGGAGATGTTTCGCGGTATCGAATATTGCTCAGTCTCAGCAGAAAACACAACGAGAGACACCGAATCGGCGAATTCTGAGAGCGGAAGGGAGAAAAGTAGGTACACACAAAATCACGGCCTCCCTGTTCGGTAATTTTGACGTAGGACTACGTCTTTGATTTCTATATGGGGGTACACTTTGTGAAAACTGAAAATGGAACATGTAACAAATTAAGAAAGATTTTGAACGTTAATAACTTAGCTGCCCCTGGTTCAATTTAAATAATTTTATCACCAATCGATCAGAAATATGGCTACGTATCGATAACAATGCTTTCGAATGTTGATTTTCAACAAGAAACTATTGAAAAATTGGTAAATGTCTAGCATTGTCCAAAAGCGTCGAATTAACTAACAAATCCACCAATTACCTACATGCATATGCTGCTTCCCCAGCACAGTCGTCAGAGAGTAGTAAGTAGACGAAACAAGCCGAAGTGGCATTCGCCTTCGATCCTCGGGGGCGTGCGAATAGGGAGGATGGAATCGCGTAATATTTTGCACACTCGCCGTGTACGCAAAAGGAAAAGAGCCAGTGTCGCTACTTGATAGCAAACTACTCATAATGGGAGGAGTCTTTGTAGCTTTTATATCACTTGGTTGCACATAATTCTGTTTTAACCTGAAAAGATATAAAAGAGCGCTGCTGTATGGCATTAGCTCCACCAGATTAGCCAAGCCGGTTGCCGTCAACGACCTGAGTTCGGACCACCAACCGGTGCTGACCGAGCTGGGCTACAACGTGGCCCCTGCACCGTGCCAGCGGAAGGACTACCATCGAGTCAACTGGGTCCAGTTTCGACGCGTGGTCGACCGCCACATCGACGACAACCCACCGCTCGACACAGTGGAGGACATCGACCGGGCCCTGGAGGGTCTCCATCAAGCCATATCCGTGGCTGACGAAGAGTGCGTTCGACGAGTTCCTGTGAGGGGTAAGTTTCAAGCAATTGATTCCCACACCAAACTCTTGATTCGGCTCAGAAATGTTCGTAGACGCCAGTTTCAGCGGACTGGGGATCTGCAGCGTAAATACGAAATGGTCGATCTGAATCGGCAGATCGCTTCCAGAATGGTCTCAATCCGGAACGAGAGTTTCGGGCGGCTCGTTCAGAACCTGGACGACCGTTCCAGACCATTCTGGAAGGTTGCCAAGGTGCTGAAGTCTCACCCCAAGCCCATTCCACCACTTAGAGTCAATGACGAACGGCTTATCACCAACGAAGAGAAGGCCAATGCGATTGGGGAGCACATTGCCCAGTCGCATTTGCTTGGCTCTAAAATCCCAAGTCCACTCGAGAACCAGGTTGCGCAGTGCGTCCTGACGTTAGATGCCTCCCCTTGTGCCGTCCCTCCAGAAGAACGGATTACAGAGGAACAAATTTGCTCAGCGCTGAAATACAGTAAGAACATGAAGGCTCCCGGGTTTGACGGAATATTCAACCTAGCGTTGAAAAATCTCAGCCCGAGGGTGCACTCGCTGCTAGCTGCCACCTTCAACAGATGCTTGGAGCTGCACTACTTTCCAAGCATCTGGAAGGTGGCAAAAATCATCCCGATCCGCAAACCTGGGAAAGACCCTTCACTACCGTCAAGCTACAGACCGATTAGCCTGCTCTCAGCGCTGAGCAAGCTGTTCGAAAAATTGATCCTCAGCCGACTAAACAAGTTTGTGGAGGAACATGACATTCTTCTTCCGGAACAGTTCGGGTTCCGTAAGGGGCATTCCACCAATCATCAGCTAGTGCGGGTGATGAATAACATCCGGAGTAACAAAGCTGTATCCAAGTCCACAGCCATGGCCTTGTTAGACGTCGAAAAGGCGTTTGACAATGTCTGGCACGACGGACTTATATACAAGCTTTGTAACTCCAACTTTCCACCATACCTTGTGAAAATCACCCGTAACTATCTCCAGCAAAGGTCGTTCAGGGTGTCGTTGAATAGTTCCCTTTCGGGACAATTTCCGATCCCAGCAGGTGTTCCGCAAGGGAGTCTGCTGGGACCACTGCTTTACAGCATCTACACGTCGGACATCCCTCCTCTAGGAGACGGTTGCGTGTTCTTTCTGTTTGCAGATGACACCGCGATAGCCGTCAAGGGTAGGATGCCTCGTGAAATTACGAACAAGCTCCAACGATGCCTTGACACCTTTACTGATTATGCCACCACGTGGAAAATCAAAATCAACGCCTCGAAAACCCAAGCGATCATGTTCCTTCACAGACAATCATTAAAACTTAAACCGTCTCCCTCCTGTACCGTAATAATGGATGGTACAAGGGTCGAGTGGTCCACTGATGTTACTTATCTCGGGATGTTGTTCGATGAGAAGCTCCTGTTCCGCTCGCACATAGAGAAAACCCTAGTTAAGTGCTCCGCCTTGGTTAGGTGTTTGTATCCGCTCATTTGCCGCAGATCCCGCCTCTCAAGGCAAAACAAACTGGCTGTTTACAAACAGATCATAGCCCCCGCGATCTTATATGCCGCCCCGGTGTGGGAATCGTGCGCTCAGACCCACAGGAACAAAATCCAGGTTGCACAGAATAGAGTGTTGAGGATGATCCTAGATCGTCCATTCGACACAAGAATAGCAGACCTCCATCAAGAGGCAGAAATTCCCAAAGTAGATTCCAAAATTGATGATATGACAACTAA